TCCTGCTGACATGAATGCAGTTCACCATGTCCTTTCAATTTATTCATTTAAATCTCTCTTCAATATCAATTCTTTTTAATCCCCTACCAGCTCTCCAAAAGATTTTGCCTTCACCTTGTCTTTATTGGATTTCTATAATTGTCATCTCATCTACACTTATTCTTATTTTGTGCTTTCCATCTTCCCCAATGTCACTAAAATTTGAATCTAGATTTATGACAGACTCAGAAACTCAGAACAACTTTTTCAACTGAAGATACCTAAAATATCCAGATAAATTTTTAAGACAGATTCTTTGGAGCCGCAAGAAATTTACTGGATAGTGAAGTAATATCTGATGGAAGAGGTAAATAAACTTTAAGCAACTGAAATATTTCCACTACAAATTAAAGCCAACATTTAAGACCTTGGCATACACCAAGGGGGGCAAATAAATTCACAATCAGACATATCATAGTGGAACTGCAGAAAATAAAACAAAACAGCAAAAACAAAGCATTTAGAGGAAAACAGATTTTATCTTCAAACAACTAATAATTAGAGAGAGGGCTGACTTCTCAGCAGCACTGATGGAAGCCAGAAGCCAGTGAAATGGAATTTTAAATGTATTGAAAGAAAATAGCTGACAAACTCAGATTCTATACAGAGTTAGATATCCTTAAAGAGTTATGGTGGAAGAAAAACATGATTGAAAAGAACACATTGACAGAGTCTGCTACTTGGAAATGCACATTGAATGAACTACTAAGGCATGTTTTTTCAGGAGAAGGAAAATATCACCAACAGGTCCTTGCAGTATTTGAGAGGAGGGTCAAAGATTCTATTGATTTGGGTGCCATTTGTTAAGTAGAATATATGTTGCAATTTCTAATATAATGTCAAACAGAAGAGTAACTGTCAAACTAACAGAGAAAAAATGAAATAACAAAAACACTTGATCATAGAGCTTATCAAAATTTGTGGGCTACAGTGAAAGCAGTGCTTGAGGGAAATTTACATTGAATGCATATATAAGAAAAAATTATCTGAAATCAATAATCTAAGTTTCCACCTTAGGAAATGAAGAGAAAATTAAATTTAAATAAGCAAGAGAAAAGAAATAATGAAAACTAAAGCAGGAAAAATTGAAAACAGGAAATCAATAGAGAAAATCAATAAAACCATAATTTGATTCTATGAAAATACCAACAAAAGTGATAATTCAGACTATGAAAAGAAAGAGGGAAGGCACAAATTACTAATACCAGAAATAAAATAGCAGTTATGAATATGAATCCTATAGACATTAAGAGGATGAAGAAAAGAGTACTATGAACAACTGTTTGCTCTCAAATTTGATAACCTAGATGAAATGCACTAGTTCCTTGGAAGACAACAAGCTATCATAGCTTACGTGAAAGGAAATAGGTAATCTAAATAAGCCCGTGTGTATTTAAAAAAATTGAATCAATAACTAACAACACATCCAAAACAGAAAGCATCAGTCCCAGTGGGATTCACTGGTGAATTCTACCAAACATTTAAGGAAGAAATTGTACCAAATTATGTACAATCTCTTTCAGAGGACAGAAGCAGAGGGAATACTTCCTAATTTAATTCATGAGGTCAACATCACCCTGATACCAAAATCAGTCAAGGACATTACAAGAAAGAGAACTATAAACCTATATCTCTCATGAAAAAAAAGTAACAAAATCTAATAATGTGTAAAGAATAATCCACCACAACCAAGTGGGATTTATCTCAGGTATGCAAAACTGATTCAACATTCAGAATCAATTAATGTAATACACCACAACAGACTAAGAAGAAATATCACATGATCATATCAATATATGGAGAAAAACTATGACAAAATCCAACACCCATTCATTATAAAAACTTTCAGCAAACTAGGAATAGAGGGGAACTTCTTGAAACTGATAAAAAGACACTAACAAAAACCCTACTGTTAACATCACACTTAATGTTAAGAACCTAGACGCTTTCCTCTTAAAATGGAATTGGTAAAGGGATCCCGTTTCATCACTCCTATCACACATCCTGTTGGAAGAGTTAGCTAATAAGATAAGAAAAGGAAATAAAAATATACAGATTGGGAAAAAATAAATAACACTGTATTTGTTTGTAGATGACATGATCGTCTATGTAAAAAATGCCAAAGGATCAACAATAGAAGAATCTCCTGGAACTGCTAAGTGAATATAGCAAGGTTGCAGGATACAAGGGTTAACTTACAAAAATTATTGTTTTTTTATATGCTAGCAATAAACAATTGGAATTTGAGATTAAATACACAATACCATTTAAATTAGCACCCTCAAAAAAGAAATACTTAGGTATAAACCTAATAAAATATGTTCAAGATCTATATAAGGAAAACCACAAAACCCTCATGAAAGAAATCAAAGAATATCTGCATAAATTTAGAGATATTTTGTGTTTAATATTAAGACCAATTCTTCCCAACTTAATCTATAGAGACAATGCAATCCCAGGCAAAACCCAGCAAGTTATTGTGTGGATATCAACAACTTGATTCTGAAGTTTACAAGGAAAGCAAAAGACCCAGAATAGCCAACAAAATATTGGGGGAAGAACAAAGTCAGAATACTGACACTCCCAGATTTCAAGACTTACTGTGAAGCTATGAAGGTGCTTTGTGACCACCTAGAGGGGTGGGATAGGGAGGGTGGGAGGGAGACGCAAGCGGGAGGAGATATGGGGATATATGTATATGTATAGCTGATTCACTTCGTTATAAAGCAGAAGCTAACACACCATTGTAAAGCTATTATACTCCAATAAAGATTAAAAAAAAATAAAAGACAGTATGCTACTGGCAAAAGGAGACAAATAGAATTGATGAATGGGCTAGAAGATCCAGGAATAGACCCACACAAATATAGTCAACTGATCTTGA